ATGGCCGAAGCACTATGGAGACAGCTGGGAGGGAATTGTGCAAGGAGATTTCCCCGGCCAAGCACGCACAGGGCTGTTCCCTGCATGCCAGGGATTATTTCTCCACGTTAGAAACAGGGAGCTGGGCGGGTTGCTGGCATGCAGGAGCCGGTATTGCGAAACGATCGCTGGGCTCATCAGGCTACGGGTATTTTTTATTACAGCAAGAGGTGGAGGGAGGAAGGGAGACCGTCTGGCTGGATTTGTAACTCAAAAAAAAAACAAAACCGGTTCCATGAAATTTAAGATAGTGGCATCAAGCAGCCCAAATATTGGGGCCGTGGCCGAGCCCCGGCAGTCACTGCGATGCCAGTACTCACATCAGGACGATGACCAAGAAGTTGGCGAAGGGCGGGATGGCGATAACTCCGATGGGAATGGCCTTGATCACGTCCCTGCGAAACTGCCTCCAAAATTAGAAGAGAGAATCAGGATCTGAGGCCAAACTCATGAAATTCCCTTAAAATTAACAGCCCCAGCCCTGGCCGCAGCTTCCAAACCCTGTTTTTAGGCAGGGAACGTGCCTCACCCAGAGGAATCGACCTCTCCAACCCCCTGCCACGGCCCCGCACACGAACTCAAGACCCCTTTTCACAGGGAGGAAACGTCCCCAGCAGCAGCGGGGCGGCAGAGCTGGGCATTGCAGCACCGAAACACGCCCCGAGCGCCACGCCGTACCTGCCGCAGCCTTTCCATCTCCCGGTAGGGAAGCTGCTGAACGCTCAGTCTCTGATGGGACATTTTAGATTTGATTTTTCTTATTTCTTTTACTTCCAGAAAGAGCGCTTGGATTCCTGCCAAAACATAGAGCACCTTCAGATCCCCGATTCCCGGGCAAACGCCTCTGGCCATGCAGTTTTTAGCCCCAGCAAGGGAACAGGCAGCACGTTTCCAGCTGCCTCCGTTCCCCCCGGAGAAGCGGAAACGTCCCCTCCTCCCCGGGACCCACCTTTCGTGAAAGTCGCGTACAGCACGTAGAAACGGGGGAAGGTCCTTTCCAAAAACCTCTCGTACCTCCCGTTGATGCGCTTCACTTTCGACACCAGGGCAGCGAGGACAGACCTGGAGCCGGCTTTCATGGAGAGGCAGCACACCGGCAACCTGCAGCGAAGCACCCCCCGCACCCCACCCTGATTATTTCTGTCAGCGTTTTGTGGAAAAGGCTCCGAGGAAAGCGGGGGTTGGCCTGGAGAGAGGCAGGACGCTGGGCCGGGGGACTTGTGAAGCCCACAGAGAGGGGACAGGGCGCTGGGAAGCCCCC